TATTTTATTTATTTTTAATTTTTTATAATAAAAATATTTTATTATTTTATGTGTATGCATAAATATTGCATGCATGTAGGTAAGTGCACCTGTGTCATACAATGCCCATGGAGGACAGAAGAGGCTGTTGGATCCCCTGGAACTAGAGTTAAGGGCAGTTGTTAGCTGCCATGTGGGTGCCGGGATTCAAACCCAGGTCTTCTGCAGGAACTACCAGTGTTCTTAACTGCTGAGCCATCTCTCCAGCCCCTTAAACCTTTTTTAAAACATTGTTTTTATTTTGTGTGTATGCATGTATTGCCTGCATGTAGGTAAGTTCACCTGTGTCATGCAGTGCCCTTGGAGGTCAGACGAGGCTGTCGGATTCCCTGGGACTGGAGTTATAGACAGTTGTTAGCTGCCATGTGGGTGTTGGGATTTGAACCTGGGTCTTCTGCAAGAACAACCACTGTTCTTAATGGCTGAGCCATTTCTCCAGTCCCGGCAAAAGTAATTTTTATAGTTGACCTATTGAAGTGATCTAAACAAAGTCCACATGTTACATTTGGTTAACATATTCCTTAGCTACCTTTAATTTGGAAAAAGTTCCACAACTCCTTTTATTTTCCCCCCAGTCTTTTTCCTTTGTTTGTTTGGTGACAGGGTCTTCCTGTAACCCCAGCTGGCCTGGAACTCGCTGTGTAGGCCAGGCTGGCCTAGATCTCATAGAGAACCACCTGCCTCTGCTTCCCAAGTACTGGGATTAAAGGTGTGTGCTATCATACCTGACTTTCTAGTTCTTTTTTGTTTTTTTTTTTGTTTTTATTTTTGTTTTTTTTCATCTTTTTGAGACAGGGTCTCCCTGTAGCCCCAGCTGACCTGGAACTCTCTGTGTAGACCAGGCTGGCCTCAAACTCACAGAGCCTGCCTCTGCCTCCTGAGTGCTAGGACTAAAGGCATGTGCCACCACTCCCAGCTGCCCCTAATTTTTTAAGTTAACATACAAAGTAATGTGTTTTATTATGATATTTTCACACACATACACACACACACACACACACACACACACATATATACACATTATCCTTTTTTTTTTCAATCTTCTTCCTCTCTTGCCCCCCCCACCTTTCCTGGTTTCATTCCTTCCCCCAAATAGTATTCTCTTCTGTTTTCCTGTTGTATGAATGCTATTATCTTCTCTTTTCTCCCTCTCACCCTCCCATCTCTCATCTCATGGTCCCTTTCTACTTTTGTACCCCCTACATTTAGATCTCATATATAA